AAATAATTTTTTTATTGTGAATTTAGTAAAACCTTTTTTCTACAGATTAATGTAAAAAATTCAAGATTTCCACAGTTGAAGTCATAAAAGCACTCGATGAAACTCAACTATGCAATGAGAAAAAAAGTGAGAAAAGAACGGATTGCTTTAAATACATGGAAAAATATTTAGAATTCAGACCTTTTCTCATTTCTTGACTACAAGATCAGGCTATACTTCTGAGAGAAAACATATGTTTTCTTCTTCTCTATCTTCTCATATAATAAAACACGTTTTTTTTCTTCTGACGCGCAGTAGTCGATCCAATCTGTTTGTGTTTATAAGTCCACAGATTCGTTGATAAAAGAATTTGTTTTATATTTTATTTCTTATACAAAGACTAACCGGCATAATATTAACTAGACAAAAAGTTAAACAGAAGTCATTTCACGTGAAGGAGAAAAACGCGTGGAAAATTAGCCTGTTTGAATGTGATACTAAGATCGGGTATTTCGTCCAGACTAAAACATGCAAAAAGTGTGCCGATCAGCTGTAGAAAATTTGGTCTCACAAAACATGAACACGATTTTGTTTTTTTCTGTTCAAAAGGATTTTCACCATAGTCTTAAGTATTGCATTACATTAGATATTTTATCTTAAGTATTATATCGTATCTAAGGATGTGCGGTAACCGGTAATTTACCATCGGTAACGGTAAAAGCCTTTTTACCGCGGTAACAGTAAGATGAATTTACCGAAAAATGAGATTACCTCGGTAACGGTGCTAATTTTTTTACCGAAGGTCCAGTAAATACTTTTTACCGATTTTTCTCCGGTAAAGGTTTTTTTACCGAACTGATGTCTGTTATTTTGTTTTTATTTCTTTATTCCCTTCTAATTCTGATCATGCGGTGATATAAATTCATGCATTCTGATAGCTGTGATGATATAAGTTAAGTTATCGATATTGTACTATCATACGTTTAGTCACTTTTATTTTGCTAGTCAGATTGACTACGGACAAAAATAAAATGGAAAAGAAAAGAATGATACAACACATAGAAAAGAAAAGAAAAGAGGTTTTTTTCTTGGCCATTCTCTGTCTGTAACAATCGTTTTTCTTTCTAATGTTTCTAAGTTTTATTCTATATTCTGTTTTGTTCTATATTTCTTTATAAAGCAAACAACATTTATTGGAATGAGACAACGGTAAAAAAAATTTACTGGAAAAAATGTATGAATAACGTTAACTTCTGATAGACATATTCTATATTCTCAGAAAAAAGTATCAATCAATCGTAACAACGAAGAATCAATCGTTTTCAGTCGCAATTTTGAACGGACGTGTTTTCTCCTATTGACTGTGTACGGCTCCAGTTTTTTCTTAACGGCGAAATATTATTCATTCTTTTTGAGCCTTATAGTGCTCTATTTGTTCTGGTTTTTGCACTGGATAGTGCTTATTTATTATACAATACGGGGTATAATTTTCGTCTTATTTCGGTCTAAATTTCATCTATTCATACATTTTATTAATTAGTTTAAACTGAGTGCTTTGTCTCTGTGTGATCTATTTCCTCTCTCTCTTACTAACACTTTCTCTAACAATTTGTTTCGAACTGTGACAGCTAACTTGAATGATGAAGCCGACTGTAAACTTCCTTCATTTCCTTTCTCCTCTCGTATGCCAAAGCATATCAATGCTAAAGGTTTTTCTATTTTCAAGCATAATATTCAGGGTCTTTGTAAGCATATTGATTCTTTACGCTTATTCGCATCTTTCTATCCTGTGTATACAAGAAACATGGTTGTCTAACGTTATACCTGATAACGAACGTCAAATTTCTGGTTTTTCATTCTATCTCTTAGATCGACCAACTTTTGCTAGGGGCGTAGCTGTGTACATTCGAAACTCTCTCTCTCATTCTTTGTTAACTAACGATAGTCAACTCGAAACTCAGCTATTTTCTATCCGTATTTCTGATTCTCTGTTATGCTTATGCAACTCGTATCGTTCAGGAGCTCAAAATCCTAATCCTAATAGCTATTTTGACAACCTAGAACTATTTCTTGTGAGTATATATATTAGTCTATTTGTTTATGAGTTAGCGCGTTCTGATTATATGAAATTCAGCTTGACACTCTTTGGCGTCAGAGCATATTCGAATAGCTCTGATGTACGATGAGATCGGGATATTCTTTTTTATGTGCGGTGGATGGGCACTATCAAATGGTAGTATATATGGTTGAGCAGCAGGTTTCCGGTATATAGATGTGGTGGCTTGTGGTACAGTGGCTGAAACCAAAACATCTAGATACGGAACTGTTTTGCCTATGTCAAAGGTAAGTTTGATATATTCGTCTTGTTCGTTGAGTAGTGCGAGCCGTCGTTCAAGGCCTCGCCGAGTTTGGTTAGTCGTGCATAGTTGTTGGTTTTCCAGCTGTTCATTCATGAATGCGCATTCCCATTGCCACATATATGCATCAGCCAGGACTTGTGTGACTGCGGATCCCATGGCTACTCTACCGAGGAGAAGAAGGCGTTTTTCTACAGCAGACAAAAGTTTAAGCGATTTTTCATTATTTTTCGTTTACTCTCCAATAAACGGTTTTTTGAAACTTTGTAAGTGTTGAGAAAAGACCGATTTCTTTTTTCTATTCTACTTCTTCTGATTGGAATAATTTACCATCGTATGTTGCATCAGCATCTAATGTGAAATCTTTTAAAAGCAATTTAAAATTGTATTTGAGTTCGTTTTGATCTGTAATATGCGTGTATCCTACTTCTATATCAGCTGTATGTCTGCCACTTTTTGTTGTAGTTCTGAGCCCTTATGCTTTTTGATGTACCTCTTTTGACACAATTCATGTAACATCTTGTTTTATTACTGTTTTTTGTCTATTATCAATAAAAAGAAAAAGAAAAAAAAAGAAAAGACTTGATGGCTGTCTTGCGTAAGAACAAAGTATCTACTATGGACGATCTTATTGACAGTATTCGAACGCTGTTTGATAAGAAAGACATTCTAGATCCCTTCCAGAGACCGAAACGAGTGGAAAAATCTCGATTCATATTCGATTCGACTCACTTTCTGAAATCCCGATTCGTAATCGATTCGATTACCAGACAATTTGATTCGGTTTCGGTCTCTGATCACTTCTCTCAAGAAGAAAATGACAATGACTACGACGACAATTTTTCTGTAGAGTTCGAAGATTCACTTTGACTTTTAGTTCCACTCAGGCTACTAGACTTTTAGACTTTTCATCTTAAATATCAGTTCGACTTTTAGACTATTAGACTTTTCACCGCTAAAGAGTTTAGACACAAATAAAAAAAACACAAAATAATTTCTACTCTACGCTAAAATATGAGTCCTCTTTCATGTCTAATTTTTGTTTTACATGATTGTTGCGAAGTGGCAAAAGACAGCGGAAGTACGCTGAACCGATCGCATTATATATGCATCAGCTGCATTTTCGTTAGCTGTTTTTATGGTGTTTTCATTTTTCGTATACGTCAGAAGAAATAGAGATGCTTAGGAATCCATCTTGTAAACCATATGAATGAATAAACAAATTGTTTACATTTAATTGCTTAAAGAATCGCTTGAATTCGTTCCTACTGCGTTTGATAGTAACTAAGATTAATGTCAAATCTAAATTCGAGCTATGTGCGTTCAATTCTACTTCTAGTAAATCATGGGTTTTCGTACACTGTACTTGAATCGAAATCGTTTTTTTCAGATATTATTTGTCGTTAAAAATAATTCAAGTCTGCCTTTGTCTTCAGAAGTCTTTGCGCTAGATATGGAAAAAAATTCTAGACTCCAGCTCTGTATCTGCTCAACATGAATGTTAGTACAGCCTTTGTATTCGATACAATAAACAACTCCGAGCAAATTCGAATTCCCCAAATAACAAGACATTTGATTAGAGCAAGCTTTTGATACCTCAATGATCCAGAGCCCCATTTCATGTTTAGATTAGCACATGTCTTCTTTCCGTATAGCGTTATCTCAAGATGATCTAAATGTTTATCGATAAAAACATTTAAGGATATCAGTTTATTATCTTGTTCTATCTTCATTGTGAATTTTGTGTCAGGATGAATATTGTTAATGTTATCTAATAGTACAAATGCATTGTTTTTCATACCGTTAATTACGATAAAAATACCAAGAACAGATCGAATCCACATTTTTATTATTTTTTCATTTTCTGATATTAAAATACGCTTATTTTCTACTTTTTCCATGAACAGATTCGCTGAAACAGGGGTTAAGAAACAACTTTTTCAAAATAATATTGATTTCCGATAAAAAAACAAATCCAATAACACTTTCAATAATACCAGGAAATAGAGCAAACATTTCTGATCAAAATGAGATACCTCCCAACTCTGGATGGTGTTCTAATCAAGAGTTACGAGAATTCTGCTGAAAGCCCTAAAACATGCATCGGAAGCTAGCGCCACCATATCTCAAAGGCGACTTCCACCTTTGCCGCTCGATGCGTAACGAGCTCTATCTGGCATACAAAAGAATGAAAATGGCATAGCTTTAATAAAAATGTTAGGAGAAAATACAGAAATCTGCTGCTAACTTCCCTTTCGTTCATCCTTAAATGAAAACCCTCAATCAAAAATTTACTATCTTGTGTGCAACTACATCAGAAACATTGCTCGTTTCAACTGAAATACTAGATCAATTCATCTGCTCCATTTTAAACATAATGCATTCTATGTGCCATTCTCATTTCTATCTGACCAGGTTGCTGTTCCACATCTATGCTTTCTAATACCATCTTATTATGCTGCTCCACTATATTTTTCTTTTTTTCATAATCCGCAGATAGTTATTATCTCGGCAACGTCTCTTTTATGTTTCCGTTGAACGGTGCAATGGGACGATGCCCGGATTCTATTCTTTGTAAACATTATTCTTTTCCATCATTAAATAAAGCGTCTACAGAAAGTACACATGTTTATGAGTGTAATATTTTTAGGTCGTTGATTAAGGCTAAATTGTTTGAGCACGTCGACGGGGTTCTTCTTCCAGTGAAATTCTTGTCGCCATTTCAAATACTTTTTCAACATTTTCTTTCGTTTTGGCTGAACATTCAATATAGCCAGAAGCCTTTATGCGTTCAGC